AACAACGTAAGTAACGTACTACTACTACGTACTACAACAACGTACGTACGTACGTGTACGTACTCTCTCTCCTCCCTCCCTACCCTACCTCCTCCTCTCTCTCTCTCTCTCTCTCTCTCTCTCTCTCTCTCTCTCACATAGGAAAAATCATTGAAATATACTTACAGGACTTGCACAAAGAAGGGTGGTCAGGACAACCCCAATTAATGGTGTGAGTGTGATTATTTTCTCCGTAAACTTTGGAAAATACTCATGCGCCAACACTGAAAATGAAGCCACATTGCAAACATATACATTTCAGCGCATTCATCAAAATAAGAACCTTGGATTAGAAGGATAGAGACCCACAAAATGTTCAGGAAAAGCTAAGTATATTCACAAAAAAAACAAAGAAAAGCACATTCTCATATGGAAATGATTACCTCCAACCACAGTTGGCACCAGGACAACTTGAAATGTGCTTATGGCAAGGCCCTGCTCATTAAGACAGTTCTCACTTTAAGAGAGCATAGATAAGCTTGTTGGAACCAAGTATCCTACATCAGGACAAAACCCATCTAGAGACTTATTTGTCGTTTGGATAGGTTAAGAAATCCAACCATAAACTCATATTTCACAAAAAATAAGCATTCGATATATGAAAACATTTACAACAGACTCCTCAAATGCTTATCAACTAAGCGTTGCATGTGATCTTACCACTGCATCAACAGGAACAAGCTGACCAGCAAGAATCTTAGTTAGGAGAGGAGTCATGATAATAGCACCAATTGTTGAGCAGCTACATAATTTCATTAATGTGGAAAAGATGAAAAATTAGATCAAATACATGTGGAAAAGATGGAAAATTCTAACAATATAGAATTTAACAAAAAAACTTCATGTTTATATTATATAACCTTCATATACATAATAAATGGATCTATTCACAAACAAATTCCAAATGCTTGGAGCTAATAGCCAATCGCAAGTTCCATCTCTCTCCACAAAACAAATGAAAAGTATTAATTCTGAACCGTTAAAAAATGCAATTCCACAATAAATCAATGTCAATTGTACTTACGTAGTCATAAGAACTGAGAGTGCCACATTTCCTTTAGATATGTATGTAGCCACATTTGATGCCTGGCCTCCAGGGCAGCATGACACCAAGATGAGGCCAGTTGCAAGAGGAGCAGACAACTTTAAAGCCTACAAAAAAAAATGTCACAAAATTAGCAATCAACTAAAAACTCATAATGTAAAAATAAAAAAATTCTTAACAGAGACTAAAGCACCTGCATAAAGCATGCATGAGGTACGCTATTAGGGATTGGAAGTTTCCCTAGAGAGATTTGGCAAGTTCCCTCTTGTTTAAATCAAGGAGACACCTGAATGGATCTTTTCTTTGTCCAGTGACTTATTTCAGCTCAGTCTAATATTTAGAGTACTAGACCAAGTTAAACACTTCTCCAGGGAAAATTTGTCAAAAAGAAAATATACAGGCAGTATGTAATTATCGGTGTTTTGGAGCGCCAATATGATTTTTCTCATTGATGGATAGGAGCACCCCATGATTTACAGTGTTCCAAGTATTGTTTATATATTTTATCCAAAAGTAGTATAACTTTAAAGTTTGAAATGATTTATATGTCAAACACTGATATGCAACTGATTAAAACAGTTTTCCTTCAGTAGAAATGACACCCTCAAGTATGAAAATCAAAGTAGCACTACTAGAATCATTCCTAACAGTTGACCCTTTAAAAGCTTGGGAAATTAATGCATGGACCAGTTAAATTTACATAATTACCCCTTGATCCATATTTTCAAAATTTTATGATGAGTTCCTTCTTTTTTGTGTTTTTCTCATTTTTTCCAGTTTTGCCCCCTGTTCAATATTGCAAGCATAGGACCGCATTTTTTGCTAATTCTTATTTTTCATTTTTGCCGTTTCTGGCAGCAGTTTGATGCCCCAAATATCATACTGGCTGGCCCATTCATGAGGTGAATGGATATTGGAAACATCGGATCATCCTACCATTCCATATGGTGGGTTTGAATCCAATTGTCGAGTCTGAAACAACAGAGCCCTTTTAAATTATAAAAATAAATAAAAATAATAAAATAATAAGAAAACATATAATAATAAAAATTGGGTCGTCCGATATAACTAAACATCAAACAGACCATTTTTTTTTCTTATAATTTAAAAGCGATTTAATGTTTCAGACATTAGACCACCTCATTCAAGCCCACCATATGGAACTATAAGGCCGTGTGGTATTTCCAATATTGGACCGCCTAGAAATGGGCCGGTCCGATATCTGGGGCATCGGACAGCCTAGATTCCATCAAAAATATTTTAAAAAAATGTTAATAAAAAATGTGGTTTGATGCTGCACCGAACCAGGGACAAAACTGGAAAAATAGAAAAACACAAAAAAGAAAAACCTCACTGTAAATTTTCAAAAAAAATGAAAGGGTAATGCCATAAACTTAACCAGGTCCAGACCTAAATTTCCTTAGAAACTTCTAGAAAACCGGCACCTAAAACCGATATCACAACAGTAATTTGAAGATACTCGATCAATCAAGGAGAGAACACTCTCGATCGCCACCAAGGAAGGAAAGGAACTAGGGGACTTTCGGCTTCGTGTCTCGCCTCTACAACTAGTAGAGGCTCTCCAACTCCCAAGTTGGGCAATCTCTCTCTCTCTCTCTCTCTCTCTCTCTCTCTCTCTCTCCACCTAGTAGGAGGATGAGAACTCTACTTCATTTCATTCATCAGCAACAACTGCATCTATTACAGCAAGGTTCAAAGTGTTAGAAGTCATGATCCCACTTCTGGGCCCAAGACAATGACCCAAATGCCTCTAACAAAATTGGAAAATGACTAAAATATCCGTATGCCCTTTAGCATACATGGTAGGCAACATGCTGCAAATGGAAAGATTAGTGTGGAATGTAGGCGACGAAGATGTCTTGCTACCCATCAAAGAAATTTGAATCCTTGTCAAGGAAGTTTCAATACGAACCAAAGAAGCTTAACTTCCCATTGGAGAGGCCTTACCACTGAAGAAGCCTTCACATACAAGAGCCCGTCAATGAAGTGGGAGGCATGGATCAGAACATCAAGAGATAATTCATTGAACTCATTCCCATTTATGTTCATCTCTCTTGAAACTTCAACTGCCTTGTTAGTAAACCCCAGATTGGCATGGACTAGAACCTTTGCGACCAATGGTAACAAACCTTTAGCAACACTTTAGTATAACAAACCCCTAACAATGACTTGTCGAACTGAACAACATTAGGAAAGTCTCCATTCCCACTTCCATACAAACATGTTTGAGCTTGCTGCATGAAATAATTGGGAATAGCCTGAAGGCCAAACACATCAATTTGACTCTCTCCACCGGCTATCTCTTTTGCATCAACAGAAACAGCCTATGCTACCACAAAGTCATGTTCAACCCAAATGATCTCCTCATACTATCTCCAAGCCTTTTAAGACAAATGGGAGATGCTTAACCTTTTTGGAGAGACTTGCTCAGCTGGTTCAAATCAGGGAAATGCACTCCAGTATCAATTTGGTCATTCAAAGGCCTTCCAAATGGGACAACTCCATGGTGGCCAAAGAAGAACAACAAGGGTTTGCACATAAATCAGAATTTCTTCCTCATTATTCTCCCTCTTAGGCCTGCCTTGTCCTTCATATGTGCACCCTCTAGAAAATGCCACTTCAAGGTCCATTTGATTTCTTGTCGTGGTTCCTAGGAAGAAAGCAAAGGGCTCAAAACTGAAAGTTGAGTGAGCAAAGGCACAGAGGTTGCCGCTCATGCTTATGTAAAGAAGCTCACCATCCTTCCAGCCAGTGGAAATAGTAGTGTCGTTCAACCCACACTCATCACCCAAGCAATTCATCGCAGTCACAAAAATCATGGGCAATTCTTTGCTGCAAACTTCAGTGATGGTGTTGCGTTTACTAAGAACACCAGCTATGAAACTAAGAGCACAAATACCAAAAATATTGGTTCTTGAAAAGCCATCAACAGAAAAACCTACAATAGGCTAATTACAACACCCAATAAAGTTAAGGCATGGCTCAGGGAAGAGCTTGAATGCTTCTCTAAGACAAATTCTTTCGTAGCAATCCAATAGTTGATTCAAAGCCCACTTGAGGTCTCAAACTCCGTATGCGAGCATGGGATTGCTTTGCATGCTCGAGATTGTGGGGAGTTCCTGAATTATCCATTGAGTTCTAGAACATAATTCAAAGCAATACCTCCATGGAGATGGACAACACAAGGTCTTATCAAAGAGTTCCAACTGAGAATGCCCCAGTCTAGCCAATTTTCAATAAAAGACCATGCACCCTCCAACAAATCAAACCAAGCATACAACACAATAAAAGAATCCCAAAAGAAATATGTGAATCTAAGCCCAAATTACAGTCCAACCCAAAAATTCAACACCCAAGATTGGGTTCCTTGATGTCAAGCATAGGTATGCACTAGTAACCACAAGGAGAGTAGAATTACTGGGATACAAATCATGGCTAAGCATAAGAGTGAAACACCAATCATACTTCCCTTGAAAAGCCTACTCAAACCAACCTCATAAGTATCTTCATCTTTATTGTTTGAGGAAACACTGAATTTGCAAAAAAGAAGGTTGCTAGCTTCGCAACAGGCTAATGAGAGCGCATTGGCAGTGCAAAGACAACCTCCAAACCCATATTTCGAAGCTAATGTTGGCCTGCTTAACTACCTCCATACTCCCCAATCATTCACTACACTTCGATGTGAAAATACAAACAAGCATACTGAGAAGACCAAAACCTAGAGGTCTTCATCTCTTGGAAACATTGTAACCCAACCTTAAAGATATACAATTCAAAAAAACTAGAGATCAAATGCTTTCCAGGTCGTGGTGCATCTCATAGACATCCCATCCATCACATTTTGATCACATTGAAAACTGATGCTAGTGCACAACCTTATGGCCATCTGAGAAAACCTCTTCTCGTAGATTGCATGAAAAACTCTTAACTTTATGGCTCAGTCTTCCCGAACTTTGTGAGGTCAGTATGAAAATAGTAGGTTCCCTATGGTTTTGGGGGACAATGGATAAAGAACAGATTAGGTTCTTCCACCAAAGTAGAGTGACATCTCAGCCTGAGTTTTCTCACTCAGAAGGATTTCAGCAACTCTTTGGTGAGCATCTCCTGTGGAGAATTCACCAACTGAGACTTCAAGGGGAAACATCTTGAACTCTTTGGCCTGAAGCTCACATGACACCATAAATTCAGGTAAAACTCCGAGAACAACATCATCATCATTAACTCCATCATCACTATTTCTACGTGCTACTTTCTTTGGGGTCGAAGAAACCAGCTACCTCCAATGTTTTAGGAACAACTCCTTCACATCCACCTGGTTCTTAACAGGAGCATCCATGAAATCCTCTTGTTCTTGATCCTCTTCAAAGACTGGATTGCTATTACAGATAGGGTCATCTACTTCTTCATCAACACCTAAATCTTCATCATGGTATACGTCAAAGATTAGTGGAAAATCCATTATGACTTGATTATTTTGGAAATCATTTGATGAGAACAAAATTTCTCCATGTTCATCCTCAAATAGAGTTCCATAACACCCTCTCAAATCATCATCAGTTTCGTACCTAGTCGAGGCAGTTGTGCACCAAACTCCTAACCATGAATTTGACTTGTCCGATATCAACTTGGTCTCTGACTCATAGTACTCACCAAAGAAACCCATACATGTTGGTCTCATCATCATAGACCTTATCCCACCTGGAACATGCCTACGTTGATCCCTCCCACGCATCAACAAGGCTACTGACCTCTTTAAGTCATTCACCCTTTCAAATATCCGATCCAGGTCATGAGCACCGTACAAATGGCCACAACCAGCTATCGTAATCGACATAACTCACAACCTAGGCTCAAATACCAAATGGTCCAAAACTAGCACCTGGAAAGAAGAGAACAGAGACCGATTTCACAACAGTATCTTGACGATCGTGCTGGTTGGTCAATCAAGAACAAAAAGCCCTCAATCGCTCTAAAGAAAGGAAAGGAATTAAGGGAATTTCAGCCCTATATCTCATCACTAAACCTAGTACAGGCCTTCCAACTCACAAGTAGGGCAATCTCTCGCTTCCTCTCTATACACCAAGTA